CTCTCTCTCTCTCTCTCTCTCTCTCTCTCTCTCTCTCTCACACACACACACACACACACACACACACACACACGCACACACACACACATTATTTTTCCATGCTCAACAACTACCACAAGCTGTGTGCAACAACAGACAGGGGGATGTCTGGAGAGCAAGCCGGTCGCACACAGCTTATTCTCTGACATATGACCGAGGTTCTATGCCGAAAGCAGATGACAAGGCAGTGATAATGCCTTTCCGCAAATGCAGCGAGTTGAGGCATCTATATATAGAAAGGGCTACTGAAGTTGACTCTGCAGAGAACACGAGCAGCATATTTCTGCCACAAGAGGCATCACTCACTGGGTAGACCACAACTGACGAAGCGCCCCAGGTTGACTTCTGTTGGGGTCCACAGTATGCAGGCAATGAAGGAAGACAAAGAAAAAGGCAGTGAGTGATAACGCCATTACACTTTCTTCAAAGGATGACCCAGAAAAAGACCGACTATTTGGGATAGAAAAAGGCTAAGATAGCATCTAATTAAGAAAACATCAGATGTTATTTGAGCCTTTTTTTTCTATACAAAATCCTAAACAATGTAGATCGTCGATCACTTTTCTTGGCAAGGCCTCAAGAGTGAAAGAGATGTGCATTCCTTCGCATGGGAAGATGGGAATGGAAGTCGAAGAAGGACGGAGATGGCGATGGTGTGCTTACCTCAATGAGTGCAAGCGACTGATAGAGATACTCGTTCGATGGGCATTGTTTGATGCCTTTCAGAAATAAACTCTGGGCCTTGCTTATGTTTCCATCACGAAGTTCCAACATTCCCCAGCCATGCCAGGCAGCAGCGTGACGCTTATCGGCAACCGTTGCTGCACTGAAAAGCTTTCTTGCTTGGCCCAGGTCTCCACACCTCTCCTCGAGAACAGCCCATGCCTACACCCACCGGACTTAGGAGATGTCATCACAGGCCAAATATCAGAAACCAAAAAAAAAAAAACCTGCAATTCATGCTTCTTTTTCTCCACTTCTACTTGAAATTCTTGAACAGCACAAATAAACATTGATTAGTCAAAGTTTACACAGTCATGTCAACAGTACTCAATATATTAGACAGCACACATACATACATAACAGCAAACAGAGGGCCAAGGAGTAGATACACAATCTTGCAAGTAGTATTCATGCTATTCAGTACCTTAAACCACCCGTGCGGTGCGTCACGCTATTTTAACAAAACCGGCACCTGGCCCACTGAACCAAGGTGATGGGGGCTTAGTAGTGGTAGCACCAAGGGGAAAAAGGTGGTGTGTTTTTGCCACCGGCATTTCAATGGCCATTATGGCATTTTTTGTTTTACTTTTTCATTTATTTTTTTTGAAAAAGATCAGCACCAAGGGGAAAAAGGTAGATACACGCATGCACTCGTTCGTGTAAGTACACATACGTGGGCTAATAACAAAAAAGGTTGAGCATTCTAGTGCATTCTAGTGCTGCTGGCTTAACAACGAAGTTACTTGTTCGTGTGTGAATACAAACATGGGCGAATAACAAAAAAAGTTGTGCATTCTAGTGCATTCTAGTGCATGCTGGTGGTTTAACAACGAAGTTATTCGTTCATGTGAGAATACAAAAAATGGGCTAATAACAAAAAACGTTGTGCATTCTTGTAAATGGATAACTACAAAACAATGCACATTGCATTCTCAACAAAAATGGTTTTATTCCCCGAAAAGAATGCCCAAAGCTGAGACCCACAGTCCATCAGGCTGAATGGTACACATGTCACTCTCTTCCTAAACAGATCACGAGTTTGAATGCTGATACAGTAAGGTTATGGGTTACCCCTGCAATTTTTTCTTGTCCAAAAACAACAGGAGTGTATATGTTCACAGCTCACCAGCAGAACTAAATCCATGAGAGTGCCTGGCTTCTTATTTCCTTCCTAAAAAAAAGTCTGTAGAAAGTACTATATAGTATAGACTTGAAACACGTACAAACTTTACAAAGCCTCTCAAAAGTTACAAATGGTGTCAAACAGCTGTGCATTGGTGCTAGTTCTCAGTATGTCCCAATCTCCTATGGTGGGCACAGAAATCTCTCTCTCTCTCTCTCTCTCTCTCTCTCTCTCTCTCTCTCTCTCTCTCTCTCTCTCTCT